CAAGAGTTAGGGGAGGAAGTCCTTGGATTATAGATGTCATGGATATCTCTTCTCAACCTTGAGACTCCAGTTCTCTGACTGGATCTGAACCCTGGAGGAGGCACTGAGGTGGAAAACTTGGTGAAGGCCTTGGAGTGAACAGTCTCAGTACCATAGACTAAGTAAGGACCAAAAGGCACTGCCAGTAAGCATCTTCATAGGCCACACTTGGACATGTCCCCTGCTCCCCACCCTGGGCCTGGGCTACTCAACACATCTACATGTTCAGGAAGGTGACTGGCCAACATGAATACTCAGGGTAAAGATGTTGAATACAACCTGGTCCTAGGTCTGAGCTAGACCCACCTCATAGCCTAACTTCCTCTTCTGTCTTCCTTGAACCCCCACACAGGACTGTCTGGTCAACTGGTCTGCTCAGCCTCCATGTCAGACACCTGTCCCTGTGGACTTCCTCATCTCACCCAGCAGGGCCGACCCCAGGGTGTTTTTCCCAGTGCTTTCCCCAGACCAATTTTAGGCTCTGTGATCAGGTCTCTTAGGAGATGTTTCAGAGTTTGGGGAAATTTTGCATTTTCATTTTGTTTTTGTGGGTTTTTTCTTTGTTTTTGTTTTGTTGTTGTTGTTGTTTACTTATCCAGATAATTGTGCTCATCATGGGCTTTAAGTGGCCAGGTGGTCTGGCCTGCCCCTCAGTGAACATTCCCTATGGGGCTGGCTCACATTATAGGGACCTCTGGTCAAAGGCTGTGATGAGGATGATCATTGACCAGAAAGCCAGGCACCTTCAGGCAAGTCACTTTGTTATCCCTTGCCATAAAGTGTCAGGAAAGAGAGCAGCAAATCTTAGGGAAATGTTACACCTTCTTGTTTAAGCATAGATGGCTTTATTTTACAGTCCAACTGAGATTGTTCAGGGAGGGCTGTTTTCCACAAACATGTCCTTCCCAGTCTCAGGTGTGGGTCTCCACATAGCCATAGGGAAGGGAGTGGTTTTTGTTACAGATCATGGAGGTGAAGGGCAGAAAACAGTGCTCACCCAGAGTTCTCCTATTGCCCATGCCTTCATCTGAGCCAGAGGGGATGTTTCATGGGTAATGGGCTAATGGCCAACATGAGCCTGAAGATTAACTAAGGTTCTTGCCCAGTGTAATGGAAGTGGTACGGTGAGTGGATAGAGCATGGAGTCAAACAATGCAGGGTTTGAAGCCAATCCTTCCATTTTTTTGGCTTCGAGCCATTTAAAAAGTGATTTCGCAGCTCTTTACCTCAATTTGTAAAATAGTGATAATTAAGCCTGCCTTTTAGTCTTACAAAGATTAATGAAATAACGTATATGGAAGCCGTAGGCATCTAGGCAGTTCAATTAATGGGATTTTGTTCTTCCTTACCCTCTTGAGTATTCATGGGGATAATGAGTACACTCTAGGAAAAGAGAAAGAGGTCTTGACAGAATCAGGGTTCCCAAGTCTGGTCCAGGCTCTGACTTACATCACCATCAGCTTTGGCCCTTCATAAAGCTGTTGTAAAGGCCAAATAAGATGGTGAATGTGAAGGCTTTTGAAAATGACCCTGTAAATACAAGGCATTATCACCTGTGTATCTTTTGTTGTTCGTCTGTCAAAGCCTGCTTTTTGTAGTTGATGGAAGCAGCTTTGTGTACCAGATATAATAACTGTAAACCTGGAGTTACTCACCTTGCCCCTTAGGTCCTATATTAGTTTCCTGTGGCTGCCATAACAAATTACCACATACTTTGCATAACCGTAAATTTTTGTAGATATTTTTTATCAAGTAAAGGATAGTTGGCTAAGAGGTTTTTTTTTTAATCAGAAATGAGTGTTCAATTTTGTCAAATGCTTTTTCTACATCTATTAATATGATCATATGATTCTTTTTCTTTAGCCTGTTGACACGATGGATTAATTGATTTTCAAATGTTGGACCAGCCTTGCATAATTGAGATAAATCCCACTTAGCCATAGTGTATACTTCTTTTTATACATTGTTGGATTCAATTTGCTAGTATTATATTGAGGATTTTTGAATCTATGTTCCTAAGAGATATTGATCTGTGGTTTTCTTTTCTTGTAATGTCTTTGTCTGGTTCTGATATTAGAATGAATTAAAATATGGAATAGAAGGAGTTAGGGAGAATTCTCTCTACTTTTGTCTTCTGAAAGAAACTGTAGAAAATTGGTATAATTTCTTCCTTAAATGATTGGTAGAATTCACCCGTAAACCTATCTGATGCTTTCTGACTCAGAAGTTTATTAATTATTGATTCAATTTATTTAATAGATATATGCTTATTCAGATTATGTATGTCATATTATGTGAGTTTTGGAAGATTTGCCTCTCAAGGAATTGGTCCATTTCATCTAGATTATTAAATTTGTGGGCTTAACATTGCTCATAGTATTCCTTAATTATCTTTTGAATGTCCACAGGCTTGGTAGTGATGTCTCCTCTTTCATTTTTGATATTAGTAATTTGTGTCCTCTGTCTTTTTTATAATTTAACCTGGCTAGAGACTTATCAACTGTGTTGATCTCAAATAACTGGCTTTTGTTTTTATTGATTTTCTCTATTGATTCTGTTTTCAATTTCATTGCTTTTTGCTCTAGTTTTTAGTAATTTTTTTTTTCCTGCTTACTTTGGATTTAATTTGCTCTTCTTCTTCTAGTTTCCTAAAGTGGAAGCTTAGATTTTGATTTTCAGGTCTTTCTTTTTTTCTAATATATGCATTTAATGCTATAAATTTCCCTCTACGCACTACTTTTGTTGCATCCCACACATTTTGATAAGTTGTGATTTCATTTTCATTTTGTTCAAAATATTTTAAAATTTCTCTTGGGATTTATTCTTTGACCCATGTGTTATTTAGAAGTGTGTTGTTCAATTTCCATATATTTTGCGGTTCCCAGTTATTTTTTTGTTATTGATTTCTAGTTTAATTTCATTGTAATCTGAGAGCTGACATTGTATAATTTCTATTCTTTTAAGTCTGTTAAGGTGTATTTTATGGCCTAGAAGGTGGTCTACCTTGATGAATATTCTATATGAGCTTGAGAAAAGTTAGTATTCTGCTGTTGTTGGGTAAAGTATTCTATAGGTGTTCATTATACCCAGTTAATCGGAGGTGTTGCTGAGTTCCACTGTGTCCTCACTGATTTTCTGCCTGTTGGATTTGTCCAGTTCTGATAGAGGGGTGTTGAAGTCTCCAATTATAATAGTGGATTTATCATTTCTCCTTACAGTCCATCAGGTTTTGTTTCACGTATTTAAAGCTCTGTTGTTAGGCATATACATGTTAAGGATTGTTACGTCTTCTTGGAGAATTGGCCCCTTAGTTATTATGTAATATTTCTCTCTTTCTCTGATAACTTTCCTTCCTTTGATGTCTGCTCGGTCTGAAATTAATATAGCTACTTCCGCTTTCTTTCAATTAGTGTTAGCATTTTTTTTTCTTTCTCTATCTTTTTACTTTTAATCTAAATGGGTTTCTTGTGGACAACATATAGTTGAGTCTTGGTTTTTAATTCACTCTGACAATCTGTCTTTTAATTGGTTCATTTAGACCATAGACATTTAACGTGGTTATTCATATAGTTGAATTAATATTTATTATATTTATTATTATTTTCTATTTGTTACTCTTGCTTTTTGTTGCTGTTATTGTCTTCCATCTATTTGCTGCCTTTAATGATTTTAATTTAGTATTTTATATAATTTGATTTCTTCTCCTTTCTTAGTATATCAATTATATATAAATTTTTTACTTTACCCTAAATTTTACAATATTTTAAAACTAATCCAAGATTTTAAAACTAATCCAAGCATATTTCAAATAACAATGTACTATTTCATAGGTAGTATGAGTACTTTATTATAACAAAATAATCCTAATTCCTTCTTCCTGTCCCTTGTATCATTGCTGTCATTCATTACATACAAGCATATATAAGCATGAGCACACATTATTGCTATTACTATTTTGAATATTGTGCTGTCTGTTAGATCAATTAAGAGTAAGAAAAATAAAAAAATTATTTTACCTTTTTCCTCCTTCCTAAAAAACTTCTTTTAACATTTCTTTCAAGGCAGAACTACTGGCAGCAAATTCCCTCAATTTTTGTTTTTCTAAGAAAGTCTCTATTTCTTTTATTACCCTGATCTCCTTAGGGAGGCTCATTGGAGAGTGACTTTGATCTGTTAAAATGGACTTTAAAAACACCAGTCTGGTCTTTTAAAGTCTCTTTGTGAGCACCAGAAATAACATCTTTCCAGTGTTTCTTTCTTATACCATAACTCATGGAGAAGCACATGGTCTTTCTTCTGTTAATTCTAGTCTCATCTCCTCAACAAAAATTTAGACACAAGCTTGAAAATAAGGGCAGCTACTCCAAACACAGCACAGAGCTCACTAAACCCCACCACATTGGATCCAGCAGGGAAAATGGCTTTCTGACAACTGACCTGCACTTGCCCACCCATCTCTCTGTGACTTTGGCACCAGGACCTGATTGGATTTAGAGGTATACTCTGAAATTATGGAAAAAAATCAGAAATAAGATGTCCATCAGTTCATTACAGTTCAGTCATCCAAGTTCTACTGACCCAAATTTGAGGATAGTCTGATAAACTTTTTTTTTTTTTTTGTATTCTAAGATGAGTTACCAGATGGAACTGCCCATAGAACTTGGTTTCCCTTCCCTGGAGACAGCTAACAAAGTGGGGAAGGGAGCACGTTTCTGCCCACAGCTGGGGTTAGCCAAGGTGACCACACAGCTCCCTTCCTGGCTCTAGTAGTCTAATTGTCTGACTCGAATTTCTTAGGAATAACAAAGTAATTTAAGCCCTGAAAAGAGATGAGCAATTCTCAACATGCAAAAAGTCCCATAAGACAGGAAGCCTGCTGGTTCCTGATGCATAAACTAGACAGCAGAGGCAGCACCGCCTGATACAGAGTTTGCTTCTGCTATTGTGTCTTTGAGAAGCTGCCGAGCTCCTCGCCAGGCTCCCTTTCCACTTCTCACCGTCTGATGGATCCCAAGGAGCTCCCTTTCTTGAACTTCCTGCTGTTTCTCTCCCTGACTTTTGAACTGAGCTGCGGAACAGGTGAGTGTTCATATCTTTGAGGGTTTGAGTTCCATGATTACCTGCCATGGAGGAGAGATTAGCCCTGTGGATGGAGTAAAGATGCAGGGGCTGGGGGCTGTGGTTCAGCTGTCTCTTCCTTAGAGATGGGCTCTGAGTTTCACTTGCCTCTTTCAAAGAAGAAGGAACATTGTGAGCTTCTGGGCCTCTGGATTCCCAGCCACGGCCCCACCAATCCTCGTTTCCAAGGAAACCAGGAGCTCTGAGCCAAAGGCATCAGTCACATTCTAAATCAGCCTCTCAGGGTAAGAGGCTCTGGTTAGTTCTGGCTGAGTGGTTGGTTTTGCGTGGGCATCCTTCTGGCAAAGACTCAGGCTAAGAGACTGAGCTGGGGAATGGAGCTATGGTAGAAGATGACTTCCACAGCCCTGCCCTAGAAGAGAATCCTCACACACACAAGCCCGCAAACCAGAAACATGGTCCAATAACAAGGGCTACAATGGGGAAGAGAGGGTAGAAGTGAAAATCCCAGACTTTCAGTTGAGAACAGACGGTGGCCACAGTGTGGTACTGGTGGCTACTTTCTTGGAAGAGAAGGTTCCTAGCAAGAAGAGGAAAAGCCAGGATTTCTAGAGCCCAGGGCTTGTTACTGTAAGTTGGAAATGCAAATGGGGAACCCTCAGAGTCAAGGCAGCTTAGCTGTAGGGCCAGCCTCACAACAGAGCATTTAGAGCTAGTCTCTGCTCCTGTCTTTCTTCTTCTGAAGGCGATCTAATGTTCTCTGTTCAGTAGTATCAGGGCTGTGAAAAAAATATTTGAGAAAGAAAAAGCCTAGCAAAAAGTGGACTTCGGCCTCACTGTGGAGTAGAGCGGGAACCTCTTTTCTACTTAAATGCCTTGGGACTTTGGTTAGACTGTGGGAGGCAGCCTGGAGCAGAAGCGGCATTTGGGAAGGGGGGAAATCCTGAGGCTCCGGGTGTTTTGTGCTTGGGGTTTTCAAGACCGCAAATCCATTATGGACTTTTCCAGGAAGAGCCCAAAGATGTGCTAGGGATGTTGGATGAGTTGCACATAAGGTCTATTTTTTCCCAGACTCCCAGATTAAGAGGCCTTTCCTGGTCCCACTTTTCCTCAGAATCAGGCAGGCCCATGGATATTGCTGCTTGATATCTAGGCAAGAAATATTTGAGCTCAGGGCTCAGAAAGCCAAATGAAACCACTTTAAGCCATCTGGGGAAGAGCCAAGCCTTCCTGGGTGCAACCTATTTGTCACTCCACCATTTTTGGAATATTACTTAGTGACTCTCAGGAAAGATGTTGTTGAACAGTGGGCTGGACTTTTCTATCTCTGTGTTTGCTGACCTCCTGGTCCATGGCGTCTCAGGCGCTGCCAACAGCTGCTTCACTGAAGGCTTTGGAGGTCACCGTTTAGTGAAAAACAGCCCACCCCTATAGGGCGTGTCTACCCAATCTGCAGCAGCTTCCTTCCTTGCATTCTATCTTCTCTGAAATATGCACAAATTTTTTAGTGTTTTTATTTCTAAATACACACCCTTTTGTGAAACCCCAATAAAACTCAGACAGAAATGCTTTGCAAGTGATACAGGTCAGCCATGACAGATTTACCCAACCAAGATGCCTAGTTCTTATAAAATCAGTACCCTTTCCCCTTACCATCTCTACTTAGCTCAACTTCCAATTCCCAGTCAGAATTGTAAATATCAAAAA